ACAAACAAGACTTGTTGATCTCTTAAAGAGCTGGTATTCTGTGGAACACTCTGGAAAGCGCTACCTAATAAATTCCTACGATAATGATAATAGTCCATTGGATCTTCTGATCAGCAAGAGACACCAGTGTTGCTATACCAAGTTTCTGTATAAAATTGCAGCCAACAGCTAACACACTAACATGGTAATTGATCTGGATGGCCTTGTTGTGGTTAAAGAATTTCAGTTTCTTTTTGAAGTGTTGAAAGTTATTAATAGAATACTTTTGTGTACTCTGTAAGGTCTGAAGATATAAGGTTGCAAGCCACAGATCTCTGTTTAAGGTCCCTAAAAACTAGATTGATTTAAAATGTTGCAATATCTATAGTGGTAAACCCTTTTTTTCCATAGCATTGTTTTGTTTAACTTTAAACAAAATAATTTTATATTGTACAAAATTCAAAAGTTACAGAAGGGAACATAGAATATAGTAAATATATTCTACATATAACTGTTGCTCAGCCTTTGTATACACACCAGTTGTGCAGGTGCCCAGCCCTCCATCCCCTTAGGGAAGGCAACAGATATTGTAGATTTCTTCCAGAGAAATTCCACATATATGTATGTACACACTGACACACACACACACACACACACTGAGAAAGAGAGAGAGAGCGCAAGCGAGAGAGCATGATTTCCCTCCCCCTTTTTTCTTTTTATTTTTTTACTTGGACAGGACTATTGCATTATCCCTTTTTTTTCTTTATGCAAATGGTAGCATACCATATGTACCATTCAGCACCTCACTGGTTACACCAACAATGAAATCATCTTGGAGATCTTCCTGTACCTACATATAAGGAACTTTCTTACTCTTTACTTTTCTTACTGGCTGTATAGTATTTCACTGTGTGGATATAACCTGGTTTACTTACATCGTTGATCAATATTTAGATTATTTTCATCTTTTGCTATTGCAAAACTCTGCTATAGTGCATAAGCTTATATACATACCATGTCACATCTGCATGTCTACACTTGTAAGTTAGTTTCTTACAAGTGGAATTCTGCGTCATGAGATATGTGCCTTAATTTGCCAAATTGCCAAATTGCCTACTGGTGTTCACTTGCTAGCGTAGAGCATTCGATAGGAAATAGGTGAAAATTGGTATCTTGTGGTTTAAATTTGCTCATTTCATTTCTTTTAAAAAGTGAGGGTGAACTTCCAAAATATCTTTGTATTCCACTCTATGTGTCAACAGTTTATTTATAGCATTTGCCCATTTTTCTTTTCCTCATTGTAGCTCTCATGATGTATTTGGGGAATTAGTTCTTTGCCATTTTTTTCTGTTCTTCATTTATCTTTTGATTTTTTTATGCATAGTTTTCATATTTTCACGTAATCAGATTTGTCAATCTTTTTTATCTTCTGGTGTTTTATGTCACAATTACAATACCTTCCCTATGATAACAATTTTTTAAATACTCCCGTATTTTATTTTTCTAATAGTTTTATGATTTCAATATGTGCATTTAAATTTTGAGTCCATCTTGGGAGTGTGTGTATGTAAATTATGAAGAAGACAGAATTTCGTTTTTTTAGATAGTACCTTGTTAATTCTTCAAATGAAATATTTAAACTGATTTTTTCTTTTTCTCATTTTAAGGGAAGTCTTGAGACGTTTTCTGGACTGGGGCTAATACTAGGTCCTCCTGTAGGTGGCTTTTTATATCAGTCCTTTGGCTATGAAGTGCCCTTTATTGTTCTGGGATGCATCGTTTTGCTGATGGTACCACTGAATATGTATATTTTACCCAATTACGGTAAGTCCACACTTATGACTCATTTTAAGAACCTTAAATATATGTTTATACCTTTGTAAGAGACCAGTTTACCAGATACTGTTTTATTTTATATAATCAAAAGTAGCTTTTAAAAATAACTGATTATTTTTTCAGTAATGCAGGCAATTAGTTTATATGAATTTCTGTAAATTAAAAATTCTTTCCAACCTTTAGAGCTAGCAAATATTTAACTTCTGATCATAAACCATTACCATATGCTGTGTCTATGAGAGATTTTCTTGGACTAAACTAAATATCAAAGCCAGAAGTTTCTGTGGGCCACACATAGCCCAGTGTTCCTAGAAGGCTATAAGCTAAGAGAATAATGCCCATCCTTCTTTCCCAGTGGTCCTTGCAGCTGTCTTCACAGAGTAGCTCAGATACAAGGATGTAGATTCAGGTGTTTTCTTTTAATAGTGTTTTTAAAAAATTATAAACTGGGCTGGACACAGTGGCTCATGCCTGTAATCACAGCGCTTTGGGATGCCAAGGCTGGTAGATCACTTGAGGCCAGGAGAGGAGTTCGAGACCAGCCTGGCCAACATGGTGAAACCCTGTGTCTACTACAAGTACAAAAATTAGCTGGGTGTGGTGGTGCACACCTGTAGTCCAAGCTACTTGGGAGGCTAAGGCATGAGAATCGCTTGAACCCAGGAGGTGGAGGTTGCAGTGAGCCAAGATTGTGCCATTGCATTCCAGCCTGGGTGACAGAGCGAGCTGTGTCCGCCCCCCCGAAAAAATTATAAACTGGTATTTAAAAAAAATCTCTAGGATTGATAATATTAAGGCTGTAAATGTAGATTTAAGTATTCCCAATTAATACTACTTTTAAAGATTGTTATTATTTGGTCAGGTACAGTGGCTCATGCCTGTAATCCCAGCACTTTGGGAGGCTGAGGCGGGTAGGTCACCTGAGGTCAGGAGTTCGAGACCAGCCTGGCCAACCTGGTGAAACCCCGTCTCTACTAAAAATACAAAAATTAGCCAGGCATGGTGGTGCATGCCTGTAATCCCAGCTACTCAGGAGGCTGAGACAGGAGAATTGCTTGAACCCAGGAGGCGGAAGTTGCAGTGAGCCAAGATCACGGCACTGCACTCCAGCCTGGGCAGGAGAGTGAGACTCTGTCTCAAAAAAAAAAAAAAAAAAAAAAAAAAGTTATTGTTTTAGAAGAGTTTATAGATAGATGATGCTAGAAAATCAAATAAATTTTAAAAATTACTGATATTGGCAGAATTTTTTATTTTATAAGTTCTGCCCATTTCTTTACCACCTTTTAGACCCATAGACAATGTGGCTTTAGCATTGGGTGGCTAAGAATCATTCATTATTTCTGCTCACCAGGTCCCCTATCCTATACTGCTGTAAAAAAAAAAAATACTTCTAAAATAGAGTCATGGACGTGTCAATTATCTTATGAAAATCTTTAAGGTCTAGTAAGTTTAAGAGATCTATTGTACATCATGGCGACTATAGTTAATAACAACATATTGTACACTTGAAAGTTGTCAATAGTAGATTTTAAGTGTTCTTACCATTGAAAAAAAGTATGTGAGGCAAAGCATATTAATTAGCTTCATTTAGTTATTCCACAATGTATACATATATCAAAATATAATGTTTTATACCATAAATAGAGACAATTTTTACTTATTTTTTAAAATAAAAAATCCTTAAATCCATGAAATGTGAACTTTATCCTGAAAGCCATTGGGAGCTATTGTTAGATTTTTTTTTTTTTTGAAACGGAGTCTGTCACCCCGGCTGGAGTGTAGTGGTGTAATCTTGGCTCACTTCAAGCTCTGCCTCCTGTGATCAAGCAAATCTCATGCTTCAGCCTCTCAAGTAGCTGGGAGTACAGGTACATGCCACCACACCAGGGTAATTTTTGTATTTTTAGTAGAGACGGAGTTTCACCATGTTGGCCAGTCTAGTCTCGATCTCCTGACTTCAAGTGATCCTCCCATCTTGGTTTCTCAAAGTGCTGGGATTATAGGTGTAAGCCACTGTGCCTGGCCTATTGTTAGATTTAAGTAGAAGAGCCATGTGATCTGGAATATCTTTCTTCCACTCTACCTAACTCTTACTTATCCTGCAAAACTTGATTTTATTACCTTTTTGGGGGGCGGAGGGGTTTGTTTTTTTTGTTTTTTTTGTTTTTTTTTTGTGAGACAGTCTTGCTCTGTTGCTCAGGCTGGAATACAGTGGCGCAATCTTGGCTCATTGCAACCTTTGCTTCCCAGGTTCAAGCAATTCTCCTGCCTCAGCTTCCAGAGTAGCTGGGATTACAGGCCTGTGCCACCACACCTGGCTAATTTTTATATTTTTAGTAGAGACAGGGTTTCACCATGTTGGCCAGGCTGGTCTCGAACTCTTGACCTCATGATATACCCACTTCGGCCCCCCGAAGTGCTGGGATTACAGGCGTGAACCACTGTGCCCAGCCCTTTTCTGGGGAGTTTTTCTAAATCTTCTCGATCACTGGACTAGATCTGGTGTAGGTAGTGCCATAGTGCTCAGCATTTTTCCTGCCCCCTCACACTTGAGGACAACCCTATTCCCCATCTCTAACAGTAACTTCCTGTGGCAGGTTTTGTCAGCCAGGGAGTCATGTCCCTTCAAGCAAGTACCCCAAGTTTTCATTACTTGGTCTTCAACAGCTTAATTATACTAATTATGTTTCATTTTCATGGATGTTTTAATATATTCTCACTATGACAACTCCTTTTCTCACCCTGGATTTTAGGAACAGGGACTATTATGCAATAATGATTTATTTTTTACCATAAATACATAATACTTCTTACTTTCACAATAAATGTAACCAATTAAAATTGGAATCTTTTATCATTTTTAGTTTAAAAGTGACTAAATATCCTTAGTATATACAATTCAAAAATCACACCAACTTGTCTCCCTGCCTGCAATACCTCACTGAGCCACACGGTGGTGTTTCTCCTCTTTCTAAGTCCAACTACATCCTGTAGTTTCTGTAGTTGAGCATCAAGGATGTGCTCAGATTTATTTCACCATTGAATACTTGGTTCATAATTAAGAAACTAACACCAGCCAGGCACGGTGGCTCATGCCTGTAATCTCAGCACTTTGGAAGGCCAAAGTGGATGGGTCCGGAGGTCAGGAGTTCGAGACCAGCCTGACCAACATGGTGAAACCCCGTCTCTACTAAAAATACAAAAATTAGCCAGGCATGTTGCGTGCTCCTGTAATCCCAGCTACTCAGGAGGCTGAGGCTCAGGAGAATTGCTTGAATTCAGGAGGCGGAGGTTGCAGTGAGCCGAGATCGCGTCACTGCGCTCCAGCCTGGGTGACAGAGTGAGACTCTGTCTCAAAAAAAAAAAAACACACACACACACACACATAAACAAAAAAACAAAAAACAAAAACAAACAAACAAAAACTAACACCAAGGTTTCACTTTATCTCTTATGTCCTGAAAAAATCTAAGGATAACACTTAAAATAGTTGAACCACACTTCATGATGTTTTTGCACTTTGCTCCATATTTGATCGTGATTCAACAAGTATTTATAGACTAATGAACTGTGCAGGATATTGTGGGAGAAATGGGGATAAATGAAGGCTGTCATGGCCGTCAAAGGGTTTCCACATCCATAAGTGGGAGGCTGAGGTGGGAGGATCACTTTAGGCCAAAAATTTGCGACCAGTCTGGGCAACGTAGGGAGACCCCATCTCTAAAAAATTTTTAAATTAGCTGGGTGAGGTAGTGCACATCTGTAGTCCCAGCTACTTGGGAAGCTGAGGCAGGAGGATCACTTGAGTGCAGGAGTTGGAGGCTGCAGTGAACTATAATAACACCATTGCACTCCAGCCTGAGTGACAGAGCAATACACTCCATCTCTTAAAAAAAAAAAAAGCTTTCATGTCTAATATGAGTTTGCTATATCCCCACCCGAATCTCGCCTTGAATTGTAATAATCCCCACATGTCAAAGGTGGGGCCAGGTGGAGGTAATTAAATCATGGGGGTGGTTTCCCTCATATTGTTCTCATGGTGGTGAATAAGTCTCACAAGATCTGATATTTTTATAGATGGGAGTTCCCCTGCACAAGCTCTCTTGCCTGCAGCCATGTAAGGTGTCCCTTTACTCTTCCTTCGTCTTCCACCATGATTGTGAGGCTTCCCCAGCCATGTGGAACTTTGAGTTTCTTAAACCTCTTTCCTTTATAAATTACCCAGTCTCAGGTATGTCTTTATTAGCAGTGTGAGAACAGATTAATACAATGTCTAAACCTGATATTATCTCTGGCCAGGATGAGTATAATAGTTACAACCTGTAACCTAAGACTCCTTCTTTCCCTCACACTCTCATTCCAGTTGATTCTTTCTAATTTGGGAAATTGTTTTTGATAAATTGAATGTGGCCTCTAGGTTTGAATAATTTATATGCAAGTGTAGATTGTATACAATTTTAGGCAAACTCAGAGGTTGAGTTGTGTTGATTACCAGATAAAGATGGTCTTACCAGTTTTCCAAATGAGTTAAAATTAAGAGATTTTAATTGCTTTGATTTTTTTTTTTCTTTTTTCTTTTTTCCCCAAAGAGTCTGATCCAGGTGAACACTCATTCTGGAAACTGATTGCTTTACCCAAAGTTGGCCTTATAGCCTTCGTCATCAACTCACTCAGCTCATGTTTTGGCTTCCTTGATCCTACTCTGTCTCTCTTTGTTTTGGAGAAGGTAAGTTGCCTGATTGCTGAAGAGTGCTGCGTTGTAGCAGGTGGATGTAACTGCTTGTTCTTGGGCCCTGCTCTGTGGAAAGACCCTTGCGTGGCTGGGAGAAGGAGGCAGAATGGGCACTACACACCGAGGTAGCCTGTCCGTCTCTGCTGTGCCTGTGAACTAGGGATCTGATTCAGTAAAAATGAAAGAAGCCTTTCACTAAGTGGCCAAAACATTAGTTTCCTTCTTTCTAAGACCTTGCTCATGTCATTGTAGGTCTAGCTTGGGCATCATCCATGCTGCTTAACAAGGATACTTTTCCTCTGTTTGTTTGAATTGCAGTGAGACATTAGGGGTACACAGTAGCTCATTTGATGTAAGATGTGCTTCTTCTGTAACAGATCCCCCCTGGGTCTACTGACTTTTTAGGCTACTTCATATAATCAGATGACTATGGACTCTATTATTCTGGGATTTGAGAAAGGAACCAAGTATCCCTAGAACTAAAAAATAAAATGTTGAATTCTAAAAGTTTGAAGTCATCGAAATTTGTTCTTAGATATTTTTGAAAAAATATTATTACTGACACAGTGAAGTCCATTACAAGGTGTGGTAGTTAATTACACTGAACAATTAATATGTGTTGATAAAAGGCAAAAATGACTAACTTCGGCCCATAATGACTTTGAGGTACTAGATTTAAAATAGCACAGAAACTTAAGTTTCAATATACTTTCTAATATCAATAAAGTTGCTAATATGGTCATTTCAAATGCTTTCTGAACATTTACTGATCATAGAATGTAAAGATTAAAATTAATTTTTCTTATAATTTTACACTACCCCTTGAAATCACTGAAGACAGTTTGGGGAACTTCACAGGTAAACTTGGAGACTGTTATTTTAGTGCCTGGTCCAAGATATAGACAGTAATATAATATTGCCTTTAGCCAGTGAGTACCGTAAGTTACCCAATGTCAGGCCTCTGAGCCCAAGCTAAGCCATCATAACCCCTGTGACCTGCACGTATACATCCAGATGACCTGGAGCAACTGAAGAACCACAAAAGATGACATTTTACCATTGTGATTTGTTCCTGCCCCTCCCCAACTGGTCAATCGACCTTGTGACATTCCTCCCCTGGGCAATGAGTTTTATGATCTCCCCACCCTGCACCTTGTGACCTCCGCCCCTGCCCGTAAGAGATAACCACTTTTAACTGTAATTTTCTACTAGCTACCCAAATCCTATCAAACCGCCCCACCCCATCTCACTTTGCTGACTCCTTTTTCAGACTCGTCTGTCTGCACCCAGGTGATTAAAAAGCTTTATTGCTGACACAAAGCCTGTTTGGTGGTCTCTTCACACGGATACGTGTGACGCCCATAAGAAAAATGTTTTGTGATTATACTGACACAGTCCATTTAGATCGTCAACAACCTGTATTTTTCAGCTGTTTTTCTGTGCTTTTAAGAAGTTGTGTCTAAACAATGAAAAAAAATCTATAACTAATCTCTGGGAAATCCAAGTTGTTTGTGTATATCTTATAAGAAATCTTTTTTGTTGTTGTTTCTCAAGAAAATGTAATTTATTTTAAAAAGATGAGGAAGACAGGAGGTTTCCTCGAAGATAACTATAATCGACCCATTTGTGGTATGGGAGGTAGTATAGGCCCTTCTTGTTTCTGGCTGATGATGGACTATATCAGAACTTTTTTTCGCTTTTGAGACAGAGTCTCGCTGTGTCACCCAAGCTGGAGTATAGTGGCATGATCTCGGCTCACCGTAGCCTCTGCCTCCCAAGTTCAAGCGATTCTCCTGCCTCAGCCTCCTGAGTAGCTGGGATTACAGGCATGCGCCACCACAGCAGGCTAATTTTTGTATTTTTCAGTAGAGATGGGGTTTCATCATGTTGGCCAGGCTTGTCTCAAACTCCTGACCTGAAGTGATCCACCTGCCTCCATCTCCCTAAATGCTGGGATTACAGGCATGCGCCACCACACCCAGTTTTACATCAGACATTGACTCCCTCAGGGCTATTGGTGGTGCCTCACCACTGCTGCCCCCTTTTCAGGTTGAAGTGCTGCGGCCCATCCCATTACCCAACTCCAACCTAAGAAATCTTTAGAAATTTATTTTCCTCTTTTTCTGAATCAGAAACCCTATGGTTGGAATCCAAGAATCTCTTTAAGCAAATTCTCCAGGTAATTTTTATGCACATTGAAGTTTGCAAAACATTAATTTACATATAAAAGTACTCTGAGTTATGGAAGCAAAGTATGTTTAACGCCAAAGGCTACAAAGCAAAAAATCTTCTCTTCTGACTTCTGGTTAGGTTGTCCTCCCATAGAGAAAAAGTAGTGCATTTTCAAAGGTAAGATGAAAATTAGGACAGTGCAGAATATTATTAATAGACTCATGGTAATAATAAGAGCTAAAGAAATGGTAGAAGGAAAAGAGGGATGTTTACTTAAAAATGACTTAATTATGTGACTTTAATATAGGATTTCTTTTACAGTTTAATTTACCAGCTGGATATGTGGGACTAGTATTCCTGGGTCTGGCACTGTCCTATGCCATCTCTTCACCACTATTTGGTCTCCTAAGTGATAAAATGCCAGTACGTACACTTAATTTATATTTGAGTCACTTTTGCATGTTTAGAGCAGTGGTTTTCCAATTGTTCCTTTGGAACTCTAGGGGTCCACTGGTTAAACTTGATATATTCAATTGGACTAGGGAGAGGTTGCAGTATCTTCTATCACCCTAAGGGTCAGCTATCACACTAAACCAATTCACTTTAAATTGCTTCACCTGGGAAAAGAGGAAGAGTCTTAGGCTTAAAAAAAAAAAAAATTGGATTAGACTTTCTTTTTCTAATTTCTTCCCCCAACATTGTCATCCAGACTGGAGGGCAGTGGCGCGATCATAGCTTCCTGCAGCCTTGAACTCTTGGTCTCAAGTGATCCTCCTGCATCAGCCTCCTAGGTAGCTGGGATTATATGCATGTGCCACCACATCCGGCTCCTGGATTAGACTCTCTAAAGGAAAAAACTCTCTTGATGTAAAAAAAAAATGGATTGATCTTAATAAATAGGGCAAAGTCTTAGAGGCTATTACAGACTTGATCAAATTGAGAGATTTCTTCTTTAGGAGGAGATAATTTAGATTTTCTGTGTGAGTGAAAAAATTGACCACATAAATATGCACTGGTTATCTCACAGCCTTTCTGTTTAAAAAAAAAAAAATACCCTTCTGTTCTCTTTCAACCAGGTTTAAACCATTCGGTACAGATGATGAGAGCACAGAATTAGTACTGCTAGTCAAATCTTAAACTTCTGTGGTTTTAGGGCTTATATTTTGCATTTCCCTTCATTTCATTTGCATATTTATTTATCAAGAACTGATTTACTTGTGGAATACTTAGTAACCCAGATGTCCAAAAGCAAGTATCTTAAACAGTGTTCGGAGCTTGGTTTTCAGACATAATCTTACTTAACTGAGCGGATATGGCACCCCTGTAATTTTTGTCCTGATTCAAGTAGTTTATAAGGGATAATTTTAGTGGATACGATCTTAGTCCATTCAGGATACTGTAACAAAATACCATAAACTGAGAGGATTTATAAACAATAGAAATTTGTTTCTCACAATTGTGGAGACCAAAATGTCCAAGATTAAGGCACTGGTAGATCTGATGTCTGATGAGGGCCTGTTGCCTGGCGCACAGATTGTCTTCTTTCACTGTAACCTCACCACGATGGAACAGGCAAGGGAGCTCTCTGTGGCCTCTTGTATAGGGATACTAATCCTCTTCATGACGGCTGCACCTTCATTACCTAATCACCTCCCAAAGGCTCACCTCCAGATACCAGCACATTGGGTGTTAAGATTTAATGTATAAATTTTGGGGGGATATAAGCATTCAGTCTCTAGCAGGTAATTTTTTAATGATGTGATTTTTCTAGGTATTGTAACTATTAATACCTAGTAGGGGTTTTTTTGTAGTCACTGGTTTTTTTGTTTTTTTTTTTTTTAGACAGAATCTTGCTCTGTTGCCCAGGATGGAGTACAGTGGTATGATCTTGGCTCACTGCAACCTCCGCCTCCCAGGTTCAAGCAATTCTCCTGCCTCAGCCTCCTGAGTAGCTGGGATTACAGATGTCTACCACCACACCTGGCTAATTTTTGTGCTTTTTTAGTAGAGACTGGGTTTTACCATGTTGGCTAGGCTGGTCTCAAACTTGTGAGCTCAAGCAATCTTCCGACATCGGCCTCCCAGACTGTTGGGATTATAGGTGTGAGCCACCACGCCTGGCTGGTCATTGCATTTTATAGTTAGTTTTTTTGTTGTTATATTTGTAATAGTTCATCATGTGCAAAATCTGATCTGCAATACACTCCCCTGCTAAGAAATCTTTGTCCTTTGTTCACTTTCTGTCTTGTTATATATTGTCCTTGCTTGCGAGTTTCTCTTTATTTTCTCATTTCTGTAATCCCAGCACTTTGGGAGGCCAAGGCAGGCAGATCACAAGGTCAGGAGATCAAGACCATCCGGGCTAACATGGTAAAACCCCGTCTCTACTAAAAAAATACAAAAGAAATTAGCCCGGTGTGGTAGCGGGTACCTGTAGTCCCAGCTACTTGGGAGGCTGAGGCAGGAGAATGTCGTGTACCCGGGAGGCAGAGCTTGCAATGAGCCGAGATCGCACTGCCACTGCACTCCAGCCTGGGCGACAAAGCAAGACTCTGTCTCAAAAACATAAAAAATGAAATTAAAAAATTTAAAAATAAATAATAAATAAATGTAAAGTTTTGTTTTCTTCATTGTATTTGGGTTTTTGAATATCATGATTTGTGTTTTTTACTATTGTTTTATATTGTTTGATTATGGAGGGTCTTTGCCTCTAAGACTCATTTTGACTCTCTTTCTCCTTACCAGCCTCTAAGGAAATGGCTTCTGGTGTTTGGCAACTTAATCACGGCTGGGTGCTACATACTCTTAGGGCCTGTCCCAGTCTTGCATATTAAAAGGTAGTTTTTTTTCTTCTGTATGTTTGGCTAAATAACATTAGGAATTATTTCAAAAAATTTTGTTTTAACACTGGTATAGGTTAGTATTTGGAACATTAATATTTAAATAATTAACTGTAGTACTCTATTGAATTGTTAGGCTGACAATATTTTACCCTACTAGAAGCTAGCAGTGGGAGAAGCAGAAAAAAAATGCATAAAATCTGTCTCAAATGACAAAAATGCATATTCTCCTGTATTTCAATTGTACCTACTTGTTTATACTTTATTTTTAAAATAGAATTTGTTGCTACTTACCTTCACTTGATAGTTCTTAGAATATATTTTTGTTTTTTTCTATTCTTTTTCCTTGAGGCAGGGACCAAATCTGTTTTTGTTTCTGTATCATCCTTAGCATGTAGTAGCTGCCTATTAAACCTTGCTTAATGTAATTACAACTAAATTGCTTAAGGTAATTTAGTTGCTAAAATAAACTGAACTTCTTAGACCTTTTCAGGTACTTCTGGGATAAAACATAGTAATATGGAAAGGAAGGGGTTTCAGAGTCCTTCAGACTTGAGTTTAGGTTTTGGCTTTGCCATGTACTAGTAAGCAAACCACTTAACTTCCAAGAGCCTCAGTTTTCTCATCTACAAAAAGGAGCTGATAATAGTACTTACATCACAAGGATTAAATCTGGTAACATATATTAAGTAACTGGCATAGTCTCCTCATATGGAACAAATGTGTTTCCTGACTCTTCTTTTACCTCTTTCCTTCTATGCCATTTTTAAATTAATTGAAGTTCAAAGCCAAGTGATTGAAAGAACAGTATTAGTACTGACATTTTCACTAATTTTGAAGGGATTTTGTCTGGTGAGAAGAAGCCAGGTTGGCTCCAGACATGTGATATATATAACCAAAGGACCAAAAAGATGGAGATATCAGGATGAATTTCCCCCAGCCCCAACAAATACTGTGAGGAGCTAAAAGGCACTCCAACTGAATGAAATGGGTTAGATGGGAATGGAAATGAGACTAGGCACATAATCAGTGAAAATAACGTATCTGGGATCCTCACTTCCTTAGCATTAAGCTTTGTGTTTCTTAAAATGCTAATGTTTTTCTTTTTGTATTTGTTTTCTCCAAAACCCTTTTGCAGTCAGCTTTGGCTGCTGGTGCTGATACTAGTTGTAAATGGCATCTCTGCCGGAATGAGTATAATTCCAACTTTCCCGGAAATTCTCAGTTGTGCACAGTAAGTTACTTCCATTGCTTGAAGAGCTGTATTGTGAATAAGTAGTGAGTATCACAGGCTTTCTTGAATTTCTCAATTTTGCAGCATGTTGGATATTTTTGCCCCAATGTCAAATCTTCATGATTCTGTAGCATATGATATCATGATATAAATAGTAATAATACACTAATAGAAATGATAATAGTACATTAATAGCTAAAATGGGTTGTGGACAGTTATCTGGCTTGATGTATGCCTCAGTATGTATGTAATTTTGAAAAGCTAAAGCAAAACAGATAGGTCTCAGCATTGTTCCTCTTTCATGGAGGAGGTCCATGAGAGAGCCTAGAGTGACCAGCATGTGTCACCTGGTCATCATTCTTTTGTTTAATAGGTGTGATGATGAAGAACACTAAGTACTATG